GCTACAGCCTCGATCACAAAGCCTATCGTCTCTGGAATCCAATCACGAAGCAGGAGATCCTGAGCAGAGATGTGGTTTTCAACGAGAATTCGTTTCTTCCTTCTAGGTTCTACTTCCAGACCTACCTTGACCGAAGAAAATGACGTTGAAGCGGAACAAGATCAGTTGACTGTCGGCACGATCACTGTGCCGCTTCAAACAGTCCCTATGCAACAATCTATGCCCGCTTCTACTCCAACACCACCAACCCCGCCGCCTCCTCCAGATCCTCTACGCAGATCGATCCGCACAAGGCGGCCTACTGAGCGTCTCATCGAGACAATGGTCTCCTCTCGTGCAGCTGGGACTCCTACTGTTCCGAGGACCTATGGAGAAGCCATGGCCTCACAGGAAGCGTCTTACTGGCGTGTAGCAATGGAAGCCGAGATTGCTTCACAGCAAAAGAACAAGACACATGTTCTTGTTCCAACTGTGCCTTCCAATTGCCAGATTATCAAGAGCATGTGGGTGTATGCTCTGAAGCTTAATCCTGATGGCTCGGTTCGCTACAAGGCGCGATTGGTGGCGAAAGGATGCTCGCAAGTTCCTGGACTTGACTACAACGACACCTTCGCTCCAGTGGTTAAGCATTCTACTCTTCGTTCCTTGATTAATTTTGCTGCGGTGGGAGACTTTGATCTGGAACAGATGGATGTGACCACGGCGTTTCTTTATGGCGCGCTTGACGAAGAAATCTATATGGCACAGCCATAAGGATTTCTAGCCGCTGGAAAAGAGGAACATCTCTGGCTTCTCAAGAAAGCTGTCTACGGCTTGAAACAAGCACCCAGATCTTGGTACAAACGCTTTGACGATTTTATACTAAGTGTGGGCCTTTCCCGTAGCGAGGCAGACCCAAATCTTTATATTCGGGTGGAGGGTGAATCATTTGTGATCATCGCTCTTTATGTTGATGATACTCTTGTCATCCATAATCATCGCTTAATGTTTCTCCAGGTTAAGCGAGATCTTTGCAGCCAATTTGAGATGAAAACTCTTGGCTCGGCTTCCTACTTTCTTGGCATGGAACTTGTGCGTGATCGCTCTCAACGCACTATCTATCTTCACCAAGCCAAGTATATAGAAGATATGCTGGCCAGGTTTTCTATGACGAGCTCTAATCCAGTGGCGACACCAATGGAACTAGGCTGCCAGCTTTCACGAGCCATGTCTCCTGAGACAGAGGACGACAAGAGAGCCATGGACTCCATCCCTTACAGACAAGCTGTTGGCAGTCTCATGTATCCAGCTGTTTGTACGCGCCCAGATATTTCTTTTGCCGTCAGCAAAGTTAGCCAATTCCTGGCTAATCCTGGATCTCAACATTGGGCAGCGGTGAAACGCATCTTCAGGTACCTTCGAGGTACTACTTACTTTGGATTGTGCTACCAGGGAAAAGAGCTTACCCTCACGGGCTACTGTGATGCTGATTTTGGGGGAGACTGTGACACACGCAAGTCCACCTCTGGCTATTCGTTTTCCCTGGGCAGTGCGACAGTCTCGTGGTGCAGCAGGAAGCAAAGTACAGTGGCAACCTCTAGTACTGAAGCAGAATATTTGGCAGCCTCACAAGCTACCAAAGAAGGTGTGTGGTTACGCTCACTACTTTCTAACCTTGGTGTGAGTGTGAAGACTCCCACTCGCCTCTTCTGCGACAATCAAAGCTGCATTGCGTTAGCGGCCAATCCTCGCTTTCATTCATGCAACAAACACTTGGATTCATCATCATTTTGTTCGTGAGAAAGTGGAAGATGGCACAATTGAGCTGATCTACTGTGACACGACCACTCAGGTTGCAGATATCTTCACAAAAGCACTACCTCGAGATCGATTTCAAGTCCATCGCGAAGGGCTGGGACTTTCTCCACTGATGAGCATCACTCGTGATGGCCACAGTGCCAGTGGGAGTGTTGAGAGTGCCCTGTGCCACGTGGTTAGTCCACGTGGAGAGACACGAGTCTTCACCGGTTCACCATGTCACACATATGTACATTTTCCATTCCATATATGCTATGACGGATCTTGAGCACCATCACACGGTTTCACCTTTCGTTAGGCAAAAATGGAGCACAACTTTGTTTGTAGACAATGGAGAGATCACGAGAAGGTGCCGTTCGCTGCAATGCATCTAAAGGATTTGGCATCCGAATGGTTCCATAATTTGGAGCAGGCAAAGATTTTTCCTTTGTGGCCACAGTTCAAGAAGATGTTGGAAGAGACATTCATCTTGACACCAGTGACCAATTCCCCATTCAATAAGCTTTGTGATCTATGCTACGATTGGCAGAAGTAGGGCTTGCAAGTTTTCAACGCTACATGGTTGCGGAATCGATTTGAGGTCGGTAATGTTTTGGAAGATGTACTCACAGAACAGTATATCACGGCTCTTCCACAACCATGGCAGCTGATGTTGCTCAAACAAAACCAACTTCAATTAGAGAAGCAATGGTGAATGCAAATTCACAGTTCTGCGTGAGATGCACAGATAATGGAGGATGTCGTTTCCAACCTTCTTGAGAGATTCTGCCATTCACCCAAACTGCTCCAGACCAATCGACAGCAGGAGAGAAGCAGTTATGACGAAAAATCTAAATGCATGGAGGATTTGAAGATGGGCAAGTGATTCAACTGCCGAGACAAATGGAGTCACGATCACCACCTTTCGTGTCTAGTGCATAAGAACAAGACAATCATCCAAGGACAAGCAGCCATGTTGTACTTTAAAGAGGATGAAATGGAAATCTCTTGCAAGTCAACATGGATGACTTTGAGGAAACTGGCGAAGTGTTGATCTGGGAGGCAGCTCATAAGGATGAGCTATTGCGCCCTGGGTTGGCAGAGGCGAAGGCAACAATTTCTAGTCTAGCATTCTTTGGCAAGTCTAGCCTGTTTCAGGTTGAAGGGACACATTAATGGTCGGGAGGCCTTTGGCCTACTGGATTCTAGCGCTTCTAATACCTTCATCAATAGGTGATCCTTATCGAAGCTGAAGTTGCATGCACAGCAGGTGGAGCAAGTTCTAGGAAATAGCTGATGGGGAAACAGTTTGCACAAGAGAGTAGGTTTTCTATTCCTTTATGATCAACGACTACGCTGTTTTGGAACACTTCTACGTGCTTGACATGGGAGTAGGGGATGTAGTTCTTAGAGTGGAGACCTTGGCACAGTTGGCGGATATATTGGTTAACTTCCAAGAACAGCATTGAAAGGGGTGGTCTCCATGGGAGCTATTGTGTTGGCAATGGCAGCACAATGCTATTGTTTGCAAAACAAGGTGCAGAGGTCCTTATCTCGGACTGGCCGAGGGAAGAATTAAAGCTCAGCAGGGGAAAAGTAGATGAGGAGGAGGATCACAATACGAAGAAAGCAGAACTAAAGAAAGGAGTGGTGAAGAAAGCGGACATGAAGAAAGCAGAAGTTAAGAATCCTCCCCGATATGATAATCAAGAAAACAGTAGCAACTTGAGTTGCTTTGAAGGTTTGAAGAAAGCAGTGAAGAAAGAAGAGACCTTAGAAAGCTTGTCTAACAGGGAGGTGATTGAGAAAGATGCAGATCAGAAGAAAGCCGTGAAGAAAGCAGCTAAGAAGAAAGCAAACGATCACCTCTCCGCCAGCAATATCTCAGTGGAGGAAGTGGTGATGGAAAGAGTGTTGTGAAGTAAGTAGAAGTGCATTGTGTGCCATCCTTGAGGCACACCTCCTTGTGTTTAGGTGCTCACTTTCAGCATTTATCAGTGACCACACAGGAGTATAGCACCATATTGACTTGGAGCCAAGAGTTTCTTCTATCACTTGGCCGATTATATGCATGACACGAGACAAACGTGAAATTGTAGACTCCATGGTCGAGGATCTTCTTCAGCAAGGGATGATCTTTGAGAGCACTAGTGCGTTTGCATCCCCGGTGCTTCTAGTTTTGAAGATGGCACATGGCGACTGTGCGTGGATTATCGAGTGCTGAATAAGGAACAATGTCATGCTAAGTTTCTCAGCAAGATAGATTATCAGATCAGGGTGGCAGCTGCAGGTCAACATAAAACAACATTTTGGACACACAGGGGGCTTTTTGAATTTGTGTAATGCCTTTTGGCTTGTCTAATGCCCCTGCTACCTTTCAGGCCACATTCCTCTTCAAGTTCGTTGTAGTTTTCTTTGATGATATACTTATCTACAGCTGTTCTTGGCACATCTCAACCGTATTGGCTGTACTCAAACAGCATGGCATGGTGGCAAAATTATCCAAGTGTAACTTCGGTATAACTGAGATCACACATCTGGGGTTCAAAGTTTCCAACGGGTAGTTGATGGCTAATCCAAATAAGTGCAGTGCTATTAGTAAGTGGCTTGAACCTTCATCATTGAAGAAACTTCGAGCATGTTTGGGCTTTGCTAACTACCTTTGCAAGTTTGTGCAGCACTTTACATCAATAGTAGCTCCTCTTACAGATATCATTCACTCATCCAACTTCTCTTGGTTTGAAGCTGCTCAAAGTTCATTTCAAGCCTTGAAGGAACAAATTCTAGCAAGTTTGAGTTTGGCTTTGGTTCAGATACCTCATGCTTGTGATTTCCTAGATTTTTTTACACATCTTTTCTCCATGGTTATATTGTCTTGAATTGTTTAGCTTCTCAAGGCTGCTATATATAGTTGGGAGGGGAGAATGACACAAACCACAGGAATATTTTAAAAATATTCCATGGTCTATAATGCTTTAAAGGTTGGGAGGGTGGGCTGTCTTGCTTGTTATCAGTTTATGACTGTTCATTGGTACAGGGTGCTCCAGAGCAAAAGATTCGCACTTTCTTGGGTTCATTTGGTCTCTTGGGAAACTGCAAAAGAGTCATGTGGCTCTTGCAAAAATCACATTCAACAGATCTTTTAATAAGCCTTCAAATCACCTTGTAAGAATCCTATATTGTCTTTCAACACTTTCGTGATTCTGCTGTTTGGATTATTGTAGGACCTTGATGTCGTGGGAAGAAGGTTTATCACTCATTTAGGGAGGAGTTTTAATGGTATGAGAGTTTTGCAAGACATTGTGTTTGCTTTTTCCAATGCTTCTTATAGGTGAGCCACAACAATCTGGAAGCGTGAGCAAGCTCTGGGTTGTGACAGAAGGAAAACTATCGCCATTTCACGGCTCACTACATGTAGCGTGAACATAGTGATTCAGGGTTTTTAGGTCCTATGCCAAGCGCCTCGCTGGAGCACAGGATAAAATTTTTCTGGATCGTGACCATGTTGGTTCAGCACCCATCCTCTCTTGCAAGCTCTTCATCCTCAAGTGGCCCAAAATTCGACTTCCTTTCCATTTTAGATACTTTTCACACAAGTAATGCTCAGAAAAATCAAAGCAACTTGGTTCTACCCTAATTCAAACAGCGCCATGGGCAACGTCACTACACTCTCGGCTGCGAAGAATCCAGAGGTGCGTGAGATCGAGGACGTTTGGGCGAGGTGGGGAAATCCAGGCAAGATTGATAGGATTTTAAAGTGCAATGGTGGAGATCTTGACGAGGATTTCGCATCGCTCGCTCGCACGGGTATGAAAAAACTTGCACATTTTCTCTTTGATTTTCTTTGTGTTCTAGCTCTGTGGCACGGTACGCACATCAATAATCTGAAGGCAATAGTGGAAAATGGTCTTGAGATCCCGACAAATTCGAACGCTTTTGACACGTACGGGTGAGTTTGAACTTGTTTTTCTTACTCGTAGTTTGTCTCTAGTGTTGTGTTTTCTTTGCATCATAGGTACGCTGTCTACTTGACCGATTACGTCGGGAAGGCATTGTCCTATGCTACAGCAGGAGCAAATGGGTTGCGCGTTGTTCTTCTCTGCGAGGTGGCCCTGGGGAGCATTTTTGAGACACAAGCTGAAACACTGCCTTCGCTGCGAGCGGCCCCTTCTGGCAAAGATTCACTCGTGTTTGGCAAGAAGAGGGGGATTACTTTCTTGCCAGTGGCGCATCTGCAAGTTCCAGTGGAGTTCACACGAGGCCAGGAGAGAATTTTCGCCGTCTATGACCCCCGGAGGGTGAAAGTGAGGTATGCGATTATATTTTCTTGATCATAAAAGATGGAGATGTAAGAAATCCTTCGAGGAATGGAGAACGAGCTCCTTCCTCGCCTCCTTGCCCCAGCGAGTGTGTGACATCCTGGGAGAGGAGTTCAAAATTTTCCTGGATCCTCAACCTAGCTTCTTAAAAACAATCTCGCTCGGGATGATGGACCAAGTCTCTGGGAATCGCTGGCGAGGCTGCTTGCAAGAATGAAAACTATCGTATCTACCAAGAGATTTACAACCTGGGCCTGGCAGCCAGGAGGGAAGTGACCAGCTTTGAGGTTGCCACGCTTGTGAGCAGTAGAAATCTATCCTCAGCTGAAACGCTCACTGTGATCTTGAAATGCCTGAAATGATCCCGCAAAACCCCTGAAAAAGAAATAAATGATCTTATCTTTATTTTAACTTTAAAAAATAAATTTAGAGTGAAAGTTTACATTTTGCCAACATTAAATATTACTAATTGGGGTCTTTTGTAACTTAAAAAGATCACTTTATTTATGAATTCTAGCTGAAACTATGGCATGATGGATCGAAACAAGTTACTAAGAGCTATACAATCTTGTAGGGATCTCACAATTGCACAAGAACTTCACTGCAGGATTAAGATCTTAGACACCTTCTTAGCCAACAAACTGATTGAGATGTACACGAGCTGTGGAAGCCCAAAGAACGCTCGCAAAATTTTTCAAAGCATCCGCAGAAAAGACTACTACTCCTGGGATTTGATATTGGATGCATATGTACAAGACGGGCATATGGAGGAGGCCCAAAAAATCTTCACTGTCATGCCCCACAGGAATCTTGTCTCGGGAACAACCATGCTCAAATTTCATGGCGAACTCGGCTTGATCAAAGAGGCCGTAAAACTTTTCGATTCTATGCCCGAGAGAGACTTAGTCTTATGGACGGCAATGCTTTCTACTTATGCCACCAATGGGCATCTTGTAGATGCCGAGCGCATTTTTGACGAGATGCCTGAGAGGAGTTTTGTCGTATGGAATGCCAAGCTCACGGCATATTCCCAAAGCGGGAACCTAGAATACGCCAAACGCGCGTTTGACGAGATGCCTGAGCACAATGTGGTCTCCTGGACTGCCATGCTGGCAGCATACTCTGAGATAGGGAATCTTGGCGAGGCCATCAGAATCTTTAATGAGATTCGTCAGCGAGATATTGTGTGCTGGAACGCAATGCTTGCCGCATATGCCCGTGCTGGGTATCTAGAGGAATCTTGGGCATTATACTGTGCCATGCCGTACAGAAGCCTTAGCTCCTGTAATACGATGGTTTCCACATTTGTACAGAGTAGAAACATCACGGGTGCCTGGGCAGTATTGGAGGATATGCCACAGACGGATCTTATAACGTGGACAGCTCTCCTTACAGCATATTCCCAGGACGGGAATGTGGAGGAGGCCAAGCTTGTGTTTGATCAAATACCGCGCCACAATCTCTTCTCTTGGAACACATTGCTTTCTGTATATACTGCTAACGGGAGACTTGATTCCGCTAAAAGCATCTTTGAAATTATGCCAATGAAGGACCTAGTTTCTTGGAATGCCATACTTGCGGCATATGCCCAATGCGAGCATCTGGAGCTAGCAAAATTTACGTTTGATGGGATGCCCGAGAGAGATTCCGTCAGTTGGGACTGTATGCTAGTAGCGTTTTTCAATAACGAGAGGCTCGCGGAGTCCAAGGCCGTGTTTGGGAGCATGCCACGGCGTACTGCGGCGTCGTGGACGGTACTGTCCGCAGCATATTCCCAAAGCGGGCAAGTAGAGATGGCGCGAAAGCTCTTCGGCTGTATGCCGCAGCGGGATACCGCGGCGTGGGGCGGCATCCTGGCGGCATCTGCGAGCAATGGCCTGCCCGGCCAAGCCCTGGACCTCTTCTTCGAAATGCAGCTAGAGGAGGCGCCGGATGCCGCGTGCTTCGAGGCGGCGCTGGCGGCGTGCGTCCATCTCGGCCAGATGGACGCTGCGCGGTCGATCTTCGTGTCGATGCGAGAGAGCTACGGCGTCCACCCCTCGAAGCGCGATCACTGCTGCATTGCCGATCTGCTGTGCCGCGCGGGATCGCTGGACGACGCCATGGATCTCATCGCTGCTATGCCCTTTGCCCCGGATGATTTGGAGTGGAGCTGTGTGCTTCGATCTTGCAGGAATGGGGCGGATCTCGCGATCGCGAGGGCCGGGGCGAAATATTTCGACCCGCGCGCCGCCAGTGGCTATGTGCTTGTCGCCAATGCCATGGCAGTGGAGTGGAAGCGCTACCGAGGATTCGAACTCGCGTTATCGTCCAAGACGGTTTCTCTATATCCCGCCTCTTTGCATTCCAAAGCTCCTAAAACCCCCACTAGGGATTTCTAGGGTTTGCGAGGTTTCCATTCCCATGGCGGCTATGGCGGCGATGGCGCTGGGGTTTGAGGACGGCATCCACAACGTTCACGATCCTCGTCTTCGCCCAGCGCTTCTCCAGGCCGTGATGCAGACGCATTTGCCGGAAGATCATCACCTCCACAGGTCGCAGCAGGAGCGGCATTTCATTGGTAGCGGGTCTCGATTGGCGCAGCTGGAATTCGCCGCGACTCTCATCCGGCGCCATGCATTGCTGTCCGAGCCCATGGCTGCTGCGGCAGTGGCGCCGGGATTGCATCCTTTCCATGGTGGCGCGGCTGCCAAAGCCGCTGCTGATGCTAGGAAATGCGCGGTGGATGCGTGGGTCGAGCGCTTGCATGGTCTTCTCTCCAGTCCGGTGGTACGCTTGTGTTGTTTCATAAGCTCCTTGTCTTATCTTTTTCCCTTAGGCTGATTCACGCTATGCGGGAGTGGGACTGCTGGGAATTACGTTTCAGGAATTTACAAGACAACGTTTTCTAGAGTCCTATGTATCATGGTTTCAGAAACTCCTTGTCCAGCTCAAGGTTTGTGAAAACATAATTGTTACACTTTTGAAACTTCTTCTCTGGCAGCCCACAGAACCAACTTTCATCCGTGCAGCAGTCTGTGCTGCGCTTAATGATTTTCTTACGAGGTACTAGAGCTTTCTATCTTGTTCTAAGCTGATTGATTGTTTTTCAGATTGGGAAGCTTTCTTGACTACCCGGGAGTACGGCGCGAAGGCGCCGCTCTGGCTTCTAAGCTGGTCCAGACCCTTGTGCAGCTGCTTACTGACAAGGATTCCTGCGCAATATGGGTATGTAGAGTCATTGTCGATCGGTCAGTAAATCATTCACTGCCGCTCTTGCAGAATGAGGCTATCGATTTGTTAGCCACCGTTCTTAAGTATTTTCCGGCTTGTCTCCGACAACACTATAGCAATGTAAGTTCTTTGTGAAACTCCGTTTTGAGGCGTTTTATAATTCAAAACTTTCAGGTTGAAAGCATTCTTGTCGCTCAAATCATGGATGCTGACGGTAATATCGCACTTTCTGAGGTATTTATTATCTATGTTTTCGAAGCGCTGGCGGCTAATTCTTTTCAAATGTTAAGGAAGCAGAGGTGTGCTCGATGTTTGGCTTTACTTCCCAGAGCTCATGGTGAAGCGTCGGCATGGAGCGCAATGGTTCGTCGCATCCTCATCGCGGTAAACTCCGAGCTCGATAGAGCCTTTCGTGGTATGGAAGAGGGTAAGGACGTCAAATTTTTAAGCTGCTTGGTTTTCCTAAGTCTTCTTTGTAGTGAACGCTGCCGAAGAGGCCACTATGTCATTACAGCCCAGGGAAGGAGGGTGGCATTTTGCTGGCGCAAACATGTCCACTCAAGGAAACAAAAGGTTTTGGCAACAGTTGGTTCCACGAATATCGTCGCTCTTGCAAAGCTGCCATTATCTGCTTGTCAATCCATACCCAGTCCCGGTAAGCACGAGACGGGTTTGTTTGGACCTCTCTTATGGTTCCCTTTGATGAAGGTGCCGGTGCCTATACTTCCTTTACTTGCATTGTCCACAAGGATCCTCAGGGTTGATGGATCTCGCTTGCCAGCAGCATCACCTCTGTGTGTATCCGTATCAAGTGCTCATCAAACGGCTCTTTGCTCCGAACTTCCAGCATTACATCTCTGCGCATTGAATCTTCTCCATTCAACCATATGCGGGGCTAGGAGGTACAGTGGACGTACTCCCATGATCTTGTGTCTTATGTTTGCTGCATTGGTCCTTGCAGTCAGCTTCTTCCACGAGCGGCCCACATTGTCCACTTATTAACTGATGCTTTCCGAAGGTGCGGAGCTGTACCACCTGGTTTGAGAGTTAAGCTTTACGGCATATCCAAGCATTTGTTGATATCCCTCGGTGCAGGTATTTTCGACGGTATACTGTGCATGAGTCAGTTGTTTACTTTTTTTATCCAGGAATGGCGGAAGCACTTGCTCCTGTAGTTGTGGGTAATGCTCTATCCGACTTAAGGGGAAGCGCCTCTGGTTCTTTTGTTTTTTCTCCGAGGGGCACACGTCCCGGAAGTACTATGTCCACCGTTGCTGCCTGGGGGCCTGGGATAAACCAGAAGAAAAGGAAGGAACCGGGTGGCGTTCCTGTAGACCATCAAGGAAATGGTATGCCAGATGCAAGCTGTTTCAACGAAATAGTGATCCCTGTCTCCGTACAAATCTCTGCATTGCAAGCTTTGGAAGCTTTGCTCACTGCTGTAAGCTGTTATATGCTGTTCTTTATATTATTCTAATCCTTCAATGTTACAGGGTGGTGCAATGCTTCCGGAACGTGTGCGAGCTGAAGTGGACAGTTTACTTGCAAGCATAGCAATCTTAGCTTCCTCGAAAAGCGCATCTGGTGGCGGCTTTGATGACGAGAGCACGTCACTAGAAGGAAATCTGTCGGCGGCATCGGCTTCTTTCCAGGTCGCCGCATACAAGGCACTGCTGGCATCTCTATTGTCACCTTGCGCTCATCGGCCTCCCTACCTTGCGCAAGGATTATCAATCTTCCGCAAAGGTATAATCTCTTCTCACGTACATTTTTAGTTTGGTTATTTATGAGAACTTCATTCAGGTCGAAAAGACGCTGGGAGCGAAGTAGCTGAAGTTTGTGCCCACGCTCTACTCGCTTTAGAAGCACTCATCCATCCTCGATGCTTGCCACCTCTGGACACTCCCGCGGCGGTGGCCTCGGGCATGGCTGCTTCTGCGGTGGCGGGGGCGAGAGGAAGTGCTTCTGGAAACCCGTCTACTAATCCGTCAAGCACTCAGAAGCTCGCAAAGACTTCCTCGAACGCTGCTGCAAATGTTGGAGCAGTTCCAGCTGGGACTCCGCCGACGGGTATAAGCTTTGCGGCACCCTCAGCTCCTCCAGCTCCTCCAGCATTAAAGGTCAATAATCAGCTGGCTGTGGACCCGTGGGCGGAAGTAGACACTTGGCTTGGTTATGGAGAAGATATTGGAGAAGACTGGAGGGGATTGCTCGCTGAAGATTTGAGCGGTGAGGGGCTGGTCTTTAAAGGTGACCAACAAAGTGGTGGTTCGGAGCAGCCAGCTGCGACAGCAATGGCCGAGGCTGCGGGGGACGAAGTAATTCCAATGGATCCTTTGAGATACGTGGACATCGGTATGCCTGCTACTGCAACGTCCATGTCGATTCTTTCAACACCCGGTGGCGAATTCAGCTCGTCGCCGAAGAGAGACATACTGGACGTTGCGCGTGCTCAAGTGGCAACCAGCCTGCAAAACGACTTTCCAAGTTTTGCGCGGCTCATGGACTCTGAAGACCAGCAGCAAGACAGTGTCCCAGGTAAACAGGAGCCTTGCTCACTCTCGGAAAAGGCACCTGTTGTGGACCTCTCTAGTTTCGCTGCTTCCAAAATCACTCTAGGATCTGATTCGGAGACTGATGCGCTTCCAGACATTATCGACGGCGATCCAGACAGTGATTGAAGTGTCAGAAGCTACTTCCGAGGTAAACTCTTTTACTTTTGTAGTTTGCATCACCGGGTATGGAGGTCATACCATTAACTTACAGTTTTTCTTTCAGAAGTACCGCGCAAGGCCATCTTTCAATTTCTTGACAACGCTCTTGTTCTCTGCAGCCGGCAACTCTCCGATAACTATCAATTGCTGGACGCGGTCCACGATGTCCGCAAGCTCTTTCTTCTTCTGCTCCTCGATCTCGGCTTTCAACTGTGGCAAGTCAGGTTTCTCTTTTTATGTGGAGTCGAGCGATAAAACAAAACTCGTGGTCCGTTTTTACCCGCTCGGCTTTTGTGAAGGAATCGGCGATGCTCTTCTCGGTGTGCTCGTGGGAGTGGGATTTGATCTTCTGGCACTCTTGCCGGGCTCTGGCCAGGAGTTTATCAACCCTTACCTGCATTCCACTTGAGATCAAGCAGTACAACTCCATGGTGGAGAAGAAGGCAATCCAATCAGTCAAACCTCGGCAGAGTGGACGAGCATCTCAGCTCGCTGCTCCTCCTTCTTTCGATTCTCCAGCGCTTTGGACTCCTCCAGCATTCGCTGCCTCTCGGCTTTTCCCTGTAGAAAGAGTTCCAGAAGAGGAGGGGGATGAAGCTACACAGGAACTTGGAAGTATTTCTCGTCACTACCTGGAGCTTGAGAGCCCGTGCTTCGGCCTTGCGAGTGGCGGCTTCCAAGTAGGCCTGTGCTTCCGTCTCCACACGATTGCGGTGTGCCTCGGCGATGGCCTCGGCTCTTTGGTTGACGCCTTTGCCGATGGACGAAGCTGGGCTTCCGCACTCGCCTTCTTCTTTGCTGTACACTGCGGCTTTGCGTAGCTGCTGGGCCATTAGAGAGCCGGTTTATAACCAAACTCCCACCGTTATGACAGGTTTATAACACCGCCTGAATCTACATTGTTGCAAGTCGTGAGTTCGATTCCCGCAAGTTAAATTTAAGAGAAACAGAAAATCTTATTATGTGCAAACCTCAAACTCATTTTATCCCTATAAAGCCATATTCATTTAAAAATTACGAGTGAACTTTACTTTTATAATTATTAAGATTTTTATATATTAAATGAAATTCTATAATAATATTTAATTACAAAAGTAAACTTAACTTTACTGATCTTGCTAAATATTTTTTGGCAAAAGATAATTATTTTAAGTACTTATAACAATGAAGAATGTAATTATTATTATAAATTGGAATAATGAGAAAGATATATATATCAAACTTTGGCATACTATTGATAATAATAACAACAATTTCACAAGATATTAATTTTCAAACAGGTGATTTTGATGTTCTATCTGAAGAAGCAGTAAATATTATTTTCCATGTTATTCAAAATGCAATTAATTTTATACCAAATAATGTACTTCCAAGAGATCAAAGCTTCCATGGACTTTTATTACTTATAAATCCAGGTAGAAGTACTACTTCTATTGTATATGGTATTTATGCTTTACAAACAGCTGCTCAACTTTGTGGTTCAAATAATGAAGGCAATGAAGATGTAGGATCTGTAATTAGAAACTCATTAAATCATATTTTAGAAAGATCATATAATGAGATGAGGAACTTTGCTGCTTCCTATATTTATATTAACACTCAACATTTTGTTATTTATTATTACATTAGAAACTATATTCCCCGTCATAATCAAATTTATGCAATAAAACTTTTTAATTGTAACGTATTTTCAAGTATCTTAATAAGTGGGTATGTTAATATGTTATATCAATATCTATTAACAACACATTTTTTAATTTCTTCAAACCAAAAAGCATATTTATATTTAAATAGTGATTGTAATTTAGTACTATATACTAAAAAAAAAAGTTTATGGTCTACACAAACAACAAATAAGGGTACAGAATGTATACTAAGGTTACAAGAAGATGGAAATTTAGTTTTATATTCTTATAATAAAGAAGTTATTTGGGCTTCTGGTACTTATTGTAAATATAATAATTGTTATGAAAATGCACATTTAGTAGTACAAAATAATTGTAATTTAGTATTATATTTCTCATATCAAAAGGTATTCAGCACTAAACCCATAAAGAAAAATGTATGGAATTCAGGTACATTTTGCTAAATTATTAGCTTAATAGCTTAAGGTTTTGTAAACTAAAAATAATATGCATAGTAATATACCCAGTTAATAAGAATAGATTAGATCCTCTAAAAAAATTTCTCTGAGCAAATAATTGAAGGCATTAACAAATCGTCTAAAAATAAATGTTTTATAATAATCCACTGACTGATTTTCAACTTGAAAATAATGAGAAAGCATTCATTTCATGACCACATACTATACTAATTGATACTGTTTATTATCTTTGTTAAACTATCTAGTTTATACAGTAGAACGATTGTTAAAGCGCACGGAAAAACTACATTGATCTCTTGATAATGTTCTTTGATCTTTCTTGGACAAATGATCATTATCCACCATCCATCCATGAAAAACTTGTCCAAGCTAAACTAGTACTTCAAATGCTTCTAAATGTTTTTAATGTTTATGGTATTTGGTATATGTAACTCAATGTTGTCCTATACCAACTCGCAGCTGCCGCTCTCCCCTCCTCCTGACTGAGGGAGAGCGAGCAAGTGGTCCCCCGTTCGTTTTGCAATCATTTTAGCTTGTTCCCCCTCAACACTTTTAATATATATCCAGTTAATTCTTTCAATCCCATATAGAGCTCTTTGGTACTTCACTAGTCTGCGAGTTATTCTTGCCCGACAGTTTGTTTGGGTCAAAACAAGCATGGAGATGACAGGAGATGGTAAGAATAAGAGAAATTTAGAAATCTAGATCAGAGATGTTAATCCTCCTTAGATTTGGCTAAGTTACTGTTTATATGAAAATGCAGCTTTTAAAAAGGAACAACCATTCTCCCAGTAAGATGACCAACGAGACCTGCTTAAAGAAGTGGCTAAGAAAACAAACATATCTCCCAAATACCTGCAGTGTGGTGCCTACAATCATGCCTGTGGAGAATCAGGTCAGTAGGCCATGAATTGTTAAACTCCACAGCAGAAGTAAGATCCAATCCAGGAAGCATGTTGCCAACAAGCTCAATTCTGCTGGAAGGAAGCCTTGGCAGCCTTCTTTGCTGCACAATTCCTTGCAAACAATACAAATCTTATACTATTTGAAAGAAGAAAATCAAAAGAAGAGAAAGAAATCCAAATCTACCTGAGACTTGCTGGCCACAAATCAAGGCCAGTGCCACGAGAGGGTCCTCTGGATTCTCTGGCTGGAAATCAAACACTGTGCACTGCTGCTTGGATTGGACAATGGTCATGTAGTGGCAAAGCTTTGTAATCCCACTGGCTTCCACTGTGTTGATAAGCCAAGATGGAGGACCTGGAGGAACACGAAGAGGAACTGTGGCCACATAAACTTTTGCGCAAGAACAAGACGCAGGATTGTAGAGAGCCATTGCTCTCGTTTAGAAAAATCTATTTACAATCACTAGTATACCACACAAATGGATTAGAAATACGATGACTGAGAGTGGAGTACCTGGAGATGAGCTAAAATCCTTGCCGCCATCGGCCTCGTCACGCTGTTACCTCGCGAGGTCAGCTCAATAAGTGGCATCTGAGCCGAGCTCCCAAACTCGTTCCGGTACCTTTCGATACGGAACACCTTCTCCAGCATCCACAGCGCCTTTTCTTTCGCCTCCGGCGTTCCAAACGTGATAACTCTCACCAGGCTGCGAATCCCGCGAGCATCCGCGATGACTTTCACTCCCTTCTGCCAGATCTCGTCGTGGAGCAGCGTCGCTAGCGCAGTGAGTGCGGCTTCCTGGACTTGGGCCTCGCTCGCCTCCAGGCACTGGATCAGCGGAGCCACTGCTTTGGCCTCGAGCATGCAAAACGAGCCTCTCTCGGAGCAGTGGCCTTGGTGGAGCTCGCATCCTGTTTCTCGAGGCCGGAAGAAGCACGAGAACAATCCGGCGCTGCTTCTCGCCACGGGCGTGGAAAGCCTCCGGGAACTCTCCGAGAACTGTGCCAGTCCTGTCGCAGCTCTCGCTCTTGCCAGTGGACTCCCCGCCGAAAGTACGTCGACCAGGCGTGACACGGCACCGTGATCAGCAGCCAGGCGTTGCAAGTCCTCCCGTGCTGGCCTTGTAAAGTGTAGTAGCACCGCCACCGAGTTCTCCACGACCGAGTCTTGGACGCTCTTTGGCATGGCTCTCGTACCCCGAACCACACCGTCCAGGAGATTTAGCGTTGGAGGAAGCGCTCCGGCTTGGAGCAGCCTCTCGATCACTTGGTTGTCGGTTGACGGGAGGTTGCCAAGGATCCCAACGGCGGCAGCTTTTTCTTCGTCCGAGCTCCATGTAGCCGATAGTACGTCGACTAAAGTCTTGAAGCTAGTCGGGCCAAGGAACTCGGATATCTCACGTCCAGAGCCATCTCCCGACAGGCAGAAGAGCAGTTTGAGAGCGTAGACTCGGACGCCAGAATCGCTGTTTTCGCAAAATGGAAGAAGCAGCTGGATGGCGTCTGCCGCTCTTAGGATGTTTCTGGCCTCTGCGGCGTCTCTAGAAGTAGCAATTCCGTAGAGTGCACGTAGAAGATGTCCCTGGATCTCTGGCCCGGCGAGATTGAGTAGCGAAAGCAGTTGCACTAGTGTATCTTCGGATTCCAGCACCTCGTTGCTCTTGGATGTATTCGCAGGTGACGATGCCAGATTGGCAAAAGTTGCTGCAGCTTGTTCTTTGAGCGTGACCAAGGAAGACGTGACTGAGCACAAGAGCCTGAGCAGGGAGGGGACGACGCCCGCAGCAATCATTTCGTCCCTATTGTCCGGAAGCGTTGACAAGTTTTGAAGTGCACCAAGCGCTGCAGATTTGGCTTCCAAGTTACCCAGGGAAATCATTTTCACCAGAGGACCTATAGCTCCATCCTGTGCTAGTGTCGCTTTGCCTTGATCCGTAAGGCCCATCCTCGCGATCGCACTTGCCATTAAAATCTTGTCCTTGTCCGAGCCTACAGATACCAGTAAAACAGATGAAATGCCTGTTCCAAAAGAGAACCATGCATACCTTCAGCCAGCCGGACAGCAAGGGGTCTAAAGTAGTTTGCCTCGGCCATTTGTACCACGTTCTGGCTGTTGTTCGAAAGAGCATCCAGCAAAGCCGTGGCATCCTGAACAGCGCTTTCGATCTCGTTCCTCAGCGTCGCAAGCAGAAGAATGCATCCCTGAGCTTTCCCAATCTGGTCGCAAATCCTGGGAACCTTCGATAGCTCCAACAGGAGCTTGACCGCTTCCTTTCGCTCTTCACCATCTCGCGACAGCGACCTCACCGTGAGGGGCAATGCACCTGCGTCCATTATCCTTTCCTGCCTCAAAGTGTGCGTAATTTAGAGCCTTGCCTGCACAACTGAATCAGACCATCAAGGAGCAAAAGGTGACAGAGCATACCTTGTTCTCGTTGCCAGCAGCAAGGCTAGAAAGCGCAGCCAGAGCTTTCATCCTTGTAGCTCTTTGTCTGGACTCGAGCAAGCTCACTATAACCGGGAGAAGTCCAGCTTCGGCAATCCACGTGGGGTTCCGAGGCCTCTCTTCGCTAAGCCTGTGTAGTTCCCATAGTCCAGCTTGTACCTCAGTATCCTCCTGGCTCTTGATCTTTCGTCCGCAAGCCTCGATATTGTACCGCGTGCTTCTGTCTCTGGACTCCTCGATCGCAGATCTCAAAGAGTGGTTCGGCTTCAACTCGAAGCTGTCGAGCTCGACCCCAGTCACGGGGCACACAGTGTTCCCATCCCGAAACCACTTCTCAATGGCGCTCCTCTCGAAAGTCTGGCCGGAAGCAATCTCCACCGGGTCCTCCATGAGAGCTCGCGTCAGCTGGCAGTAGAAAGGCATGTACTGCCAGTTACTTCCAGTCACTCTATGAAACTCCCCACTGCCACCATTCTTCACGTTGGCGGCGCTCAAGAGCCCAATGATCTGCTCAAGCTGATACGCCTCGGCTCGGTTCTTCCGGAGCTCGGCCTCTTCCTTCTCCTTCTTAAACTCCTCCAGCTCCTGAGCGAGAGCGAGTGTGTTCTGAGGCACTCCAACGGACCTGGCAATCTGGAGCAGCAGATCATTCGCGAAAGCACTGTCTGTTCGTTGGTCTCGGATCCCCAGCTCGATCTTCTCCACGAGCTCTTCGTCGGCGGCAGCAGCTCGAAACTGGGCGCTTTGCATGTCCACCAAGAGCTTGGAAGTCACCTCGCGGCTGTCCACCGAGATGTTCATACTCGCCAGTGGAATGAGGCTCAAACACCTCCCAATCTCGTGCGTGATGTCCTGGACTTGCTTGACGAGCGTCCGGCAGTGTAGAAGAAGGTAGATCCGGCTCTTGGATCCACACAACTTGATCAACTCCTGTGCCTTCTTCATCTCCCTCTCCAGGCTCTCCAGCGAGACTCTCATCGGCGGCGTGTCCCTCACATTCTTATCGTGGAGCTCTCGCAACACGGGCAAGATCTTCTCCAGGTAGCTCCCAAGCTCGCTAAAGCTCTCCCTCTCGATCAACACATCCTTGGCAGCCATGGCCGTGTCCGTTACCTGGACTACCAATCGAGCCAGCACCTCGGAGATCGGTGCCAACACCGCATTCCCTATGCCGCCGCGCAGCATTCTGTCCAATCCCAGAATCTCTCGCGAAATCTCTAGAATCTAAGATCCAGAAGCATTCTTTCCTGAGATCCCAGCGAAGTCTTCCAGGAACTGGCGCTCGCTCGCTCGATCCTCACCTCGTTGATGCGATCGCCAAACGCTGCTCGTCAAGTCAAGACCGTGTCCTCTCAAGAACCCTAAAAACAGTAGTGTTATTATAGTCTTTGCCAGAGATCATGGAGCTCCTTTAACTCGTTTGGCAAAGCGTGGATGGAGGACCTCAAAGCAATGCGGTACATGGTTTTGATCGTCTCCACGTCCAGTGCTCGAGCGCTCGACGCTTTGTCCTCTTTGATCACAGCTCCCAGCAAGTTTTTCAGTAAAGTCTGGAGCTGGGCGATGAATTTTTCCAGAGTTTCGTCCGCTGGCCTCGATTCCACTGTCACTTCCAGCGCTCGCCGGCCTTCCAGCATGCACGCCATTCCTTGCTCCAGTATCAACAGCTGCGCAAAGAAACCTTCCATTAGAACACTAGAACTTCACGATCGAAGAAAAAGAACTTTGTTATGCAAAAAGCAAAGTGGTAGTACCTGGTTTGCGCCGGAAAATGGTAGCACCAAGAAGCAAAGGTCGCATTCCACCAGGAGGATGTCGAGGAACATCGTCGGATGCGAATGAGGCCGATAGTAGCCGAGAGCTTTCCGGAGATGGTGGTCCGCTAGCGAGGCGTGGAACTTGAGATTCGTGTCTTTGCTGTAGTCGGTCTTGAGCTTGGCGATCTGGAGGCAGTTCCGAAGGTGCGAGCCGATCTGGAAGTGCGTGAAGGCGGTCTCCTGCGCTCGAGGAATCGACTCGTAGAGCAGCAGAGCCTCGAGGATGTCCGACGTCGCAAACAGCGATTGCAGCTTGTAGCTCGTCAGCGAGTCGCCCGAGTTTAGAACCGCGGAAGTCTGCTGATCCACCGTGAAGAGTCCCAGCCTCAGGTACGTGTTGGCGAGCTGCGTCACAACGTTTTCCTCGAGTTCCTTCGAGCCGGATAAGTTGGCGGCTTCTCTCTTCGCAGCTCGGTAGCACTTCAAGGCCTTCAAGTAAAACTCCCTGGCCTCGCGAGCGACTCGTTCGCGTTTCTCCGGACTCAAGTCACCCACGGACATCCAGGCAACCAGCTTCTCGGCAGCCGATCTTAGTGCGTGGCCGAGGTTGCAGTTCACGAGGAGTACGTTTGTCGAATCTCCAACTGTTTCGAACGCTCGGATGGCGGTGAGATAGGCCATCTCGGCGAGAGCAAGATCCTCGCTAGCCAGTATCAGACGTGCGAGCTCGTTGCAGGCCCAGCCTTTCTTCCGAACGGCTGCGTCCAGATCTCTAGAGGCTCCAGGAACGTCTGTTAGAGCGTATATCGCAGCATCGTAGCAGTCCACTGCCGCCACGAAGTTGAGCTTCAAGTCTTTGGTGAGAACTCGTTGCAAGTGGAAGCAGACGTGATTCTTGCAAACTTGCTTGTAACTGTAGTCTGCTTGAGTCTTCGATTCTTCCTCCACTGTCCCATCTTTCGCCTCATAAACAGTTGCCACCGCTTTCCCTGATTTCTTGTGCTTTGTCCGCTGCCTCGAGGAATTTTTCTCGCTGTAATCACTGCTACTCGTTGCACTGCTCCCACTGCTTATTCTATCCATATGGCAGCTACAGTCACTGGCACTACAGACTCCACATCCCGGCTTTTGTCCGGACTTCTTCCTGAGGCGTTTAACTTCTCGCACTATCTCCTCAGCCATTTGTAGCTCCTCGCCACCTTTCATTCCCTTGCGTGGAAGGCTATTTTCACCGAGAACCATGAGGTTTTTGATGTAGACGTCGCCTATCAACCGCCACACCTGGCCCCAAAAGAGTCCTTTCTGGAGGTCATTCTGCTGAGTTCCCGATTTACGAGGTAGGAACTTCTTCTTTGAGCTGCTTGCCGGCAAACAGTACTGGCAGCCATACGGACTAGGCAGGTTTTCCAGCTTCAGCACTGACGCATAAACGGAGCAGGCGAGCTGAGCAGCTTTCACTGTCCGAACCAGGTCTCCTTTCTCGCTGTAAGCCTCCCCCAGAGCAAGATAAGACTCTCCCAGCATCAAGATGAGCTCCCTGAGCTTCTGGTCCATCAAAACACCGAACTCGCTGCTTCCAATGTCGTAGAAGCTGATACAGTCTATATCCCCGCAAAGGCACAGAGGGAACTGCTTGATATTTGTCACCCTCAACTTTTCCTTGTCAATGTCTTGAAGCTGCCTCTGGGACCGTAGAGATAGTATGGCTTCAGAGACGTGATGAACAGCGGCCAGGCGCGGAGAGACAGGATCGACTTCGGCATCCATGACTTGTACAGGAGAGTCGTAAAGAGTCAGCTCTTTCTCCGAAACTTCTGTCTCGCCCGATGTCGTAGATAATTCCTCGATGCAAACGCTTTTCCCGTCAAGGTCCGGATCAACTATTTCTTCATGATCGTAGGCTTCTAAAAGCAGAACAGGCTTCGCTGAAGAGTCATGCTCCTTGCAACAGTTTAGAATTAATCTGGCAACTTGCTCATGCGCGATTGCTCTGATTATCTAAACAAAACAAACTCAGACTTAGTGCCAGAGCTCAAAAAATTAACGAATAGCAACCTACCAGATGCTCTTCGTTGTCTAAGAACTCTAGACATTTCCGAAACAATTTAGCACATTTGCAAATGTCACTTGACTCCTGAATAAACACAAACTTTCAATTAAGAAAAAGTCCCCTTACTTCAAAACATACCTGAGAACGTGATAAGCTGTAAGCAATGCGGTACAAAAGCATTGCCAGAGGCAACGTATAACAGTTACCATTAGCATTCCGCGAAGGTAGTGTGCTGTGGCTGTCAACTTTCTTGCAGCTCTTAGATATATCTGATAGATCATACAGCTGCAACACGTCCTCGCCATGATTCTTACACAGCTACAAAATTAGTGAAGTATTAGTACATGACACTCCGGATTGATAGCTTACCCAGTAGGTCCCAGGGTCATGCTTGCAATTTTCTTGAAGAAACCTCAGCACTGAAATGGCATTCTGTTGCACAATATGTGGCTGAAAAAAGACTGTCCCGTCTTCCGCAAGGCCCTTTAAGCAGAAAATGTCGTCGGTCTTTAGAAGCTCATATCCCTGAACGACGCCATTGTGATGGTAGCAAATAGCCAGCTCGGGAACACTGGCCATTACATTATCTAACCAGGCATCGAGCCACATCAGAGGCGTAACCTGCATAAAAGAGGCTGTCAGCAACGGCCTCGCACACAAACCATCTTCTTTTTACCTGTCGTTTAATCTCCATGAGGTGCAAACTTACAGCGACATGCTTCTCGTTGCTGAAAACCAGTAGATCGCTTCCTAGAAGCATTCGCAAGTTCTGAAACTGCCAGTAAAGGACCCGCAAAAAATCGTCGGATGTCTTCTTTTGCCTCACTCCATCTTCTTCACTGTACTCCGCATCATCATCCTCGTCATCATCATCCCCCAGCTCAACTTCAGCCTGCCTTCCACGCGAGAGCTTCCCGTTATGCTGGACCGGCAGTCTCATCGTAGCGCACAGGTTTCCCTCGCAGCCTTCTTCGTCTATAGTTTCCTGCCATGGGCTGAACAAGGACTCCGTCGAACTGTCCGTCTCTTTGGTTGATTCCGACGGCGGGGGCGATCTCGACTGCATGGAATGGTGGACAAATCTCGAGTATAGCAGCTTCTCACCCAGCTTGACTGCTTTTTTTTTACGAACAAGCGTTTCTCTGTCTTCATCCGGCCTGCATTCAAACGTAAGCACGCAAAGAAACTCGAATTAAAGCAAAGACAAAAGTTGACACACCCACTGTTCAGTATGAGAGTCCTCCCAATCCTATGAACCGCGACTGACACCCGAGCTTTCGAGTATGGAGTCTTGAAGATCTGCTTCAGTATGTCAACGGGAGCAATCACGTCGATCCCGTCCCCGTGGCCGGAGAGGGCACTGGCAGCTAAAGCATCGCATTTTTGAGCGACTGTTTTGCTGGTTGTTTCACATATGTCTGAAAGAGAAAAGACTAAAAACTAAAGAACAATCCAAACGATCAGCTCTTACTTCCGGATGATTCGTTAACAGCAGCGAGAGCTCTGTTGCTCAGAGGCGCATTGAGATCAGTCTCCGCTGGAAGTAGCTTGTAGTGAGGCGCAATCACCCTGGATGAATGCAAGGCAAGCAATTTATTGAGCCATCGCAAGATCGTCACTCAAAATCACATCGATCGCAAGAATTCACCTCTTGTGATAGACGACTGCTGTAGAGGAAAATGCCTTGGGCGGGCTCGCCGTCGGCACGGGCAAGCTCCCGCATATGAAGCTCAGCCCCGCAGCCTGAGAATCATCGCCGCTGTGATTGAGCGTCCTCTGGACTTGCATCGATCCCACGCATTGCAGCTCCTGCGGCTTGTCGTGGAATGCCACAACCTGTGCTTCCATCGCTCATCCAGGAACCCTAAAACCACAGAAAATAAAAACCCTAAAACCACCAAAAAGAAAAAGTTCATAAAAGTAGAAGAAATGCGACCACGGTGGGATTCGAACCCACGACCTTCAGATCCGAAGTCTGACGCGCTAATCCACTGCGCTACGCGGCCATGTTATGTTTGCAATCACATTGCACAGTCTACACAAAGACCACAGCACATGATAGAAAAAAAAAACGTGGAAAGATTTTTCTTCCAACTTTTGTCACAATAATGCGGCCAGTCACTGTCAAAAACTAAGTGTTATGCTAATCCTGATTATTATCGTCATTATCGTCGCTGTCGCTGTCGCTGCCGCTGCTGCAGAGGCTGGAATCGTCCTCCTCGTCTTCGTTGTCGTCGAGATCGTCGCCCTGCGACACCTTGTCCGCTAGGGTTTTCACCACATTCTCCAGCGCCGCGGTGTGATCCTGGCCATGACGGAGTAGCGTCTCGACGGCGGAGGCCGGGGTCATCTTCACGCTCGCGATCAGGCCTTCGATCGCCGGGTAGAGCTCGTGATCCTCGATCTTGAGATAGGTCGCCGCCAGCGATCGAAATGCCGCGAACGAGCAGTAGCTCATGTGGATGTGCATGTCCATTCTCCCCGGCCGCAGGAGCGCAGCGTCCAATCGCTTCACGAAATTCGTGGTGAAGACGAAGATCCGCTCTCTGCCGCACGAGGACCACAATCCATCCGTGAAATTCAGCAATCCCGAGAGTGTCACGCCCTGATCCTCTGGATCTAGCGCCCTCTCTCTCCTCCTCCTCCTCCTCTTTTGGATCTTGGAGATATTTCCTTCGTCCTCCTTGTCCTTGTTCTTCTTCTTCTTCTTCTTGTTCTTGCGACGATTCTCGATTGGAATGGAGCAATCGATGTCCTCCACCACGATAATCGCGCGATCCTTGACGTGAATCAGCAGCTGCCGGAGCTCCTGGTTGCTCCGGACCTTGGTGAGCTCCAGATCGTAGACGTCATAGCCAGTGAAGTTCGACATGGCTCCAATCAGGCTCGATTTCCCGGTTCCAGGGGGGCCGTAGAGCAAATACCCCCTCTTCCACGCTCGCCCCACCCCAGCATAGAAATCCTTGCCTTTCATGAATCTCGTGAGATCCTCCATGAGCAGGGCTTTGTAATCCGGATCCATGGCGATCGTGTCGAATGTGGGGGGCGGATTGAAAGGGATGGACTCCCACGACTCGTAGATGTTCGTGTGGAGCTCCTTCTCGCAGCCCAATTTCTCGATCTCTCTGCCCCTTTCCATGACGAACTCGAGGTAATCGGGCACTAGACCTCGATCGGCTTTGGGGACTGTTAGATGGAGGAATCGCTGCTCCTCCCTGCGATACATTCCCTCGCTCACGATCGTCTGGAGCTCCCAAACTATCCTGGCGCCCCGGAATTCGTCGAAGACCTGCTGGCCAGTGGCGATGGTGAATGTGAGCTTCTTGGCGTTTCTAGGGCACTCGGCGGTGAGCGCGTCGGCCCTGTTCTTGAGGCTGGACGAGTAGAGGGCGGCGTAGGTGTAGAGATCGTTGCTTCCGGCGCCGCTGCGCTCGCTGATTGTAATGCTGTGGTAGAGTGACCAGCGGTGGAGGATCTTGCGGCGGAGATCCTCGAGGAAGCGATAGAAATCGGGGGGGACTAGGGTTTTGAGCGCGGCGGCGACGCCCACCACGGACCAGAAGAATGCGATGAGCATCGAGTACTCCATGGATCTCTCTCTCGCTCTCCAAGTATGAACGAGTGGATTGGAAGAGAGAGAAGAAATCTATCACTCGGCTTGACCTCGGCGATCGCCCAATTCCAATGGTGGAGTGGAGAACGCACTTTATAGGGAAAAGAAGCTTGGACAGCACACAAATGGAACGTCCAACGAATCTTCGTCCTCTTCACTGTTTACTTGTCAAACAAAGTAAACTCTTTCGGCGCCGGACTTGCTTTTCTTATTATGTTAATTTCATCTTCGCATAGGGATCAAACTCAGATATTCGTACCTCATGTTTTGTAGCGCGTAGGCAGTGCTGATTGGCACATCGAGCCAGTGTAGTGATCGACGAAAAGAATCGTTCCAGTGGCGGACAAATGCTACAAAATGGTCGATTAGGTAGGCGTGTGGATCAAGAGAATCAGAAATCAGTTTAAAAGACAAAACTTTGATCACAGCGTCAGCTCCATTGCATTCTCAACGATTTTGGAGAATGTATCGAGGAACGATGCCAAGTCCGCGCCATCGATAATCCGATGATCCGCAGTCACATTCACCTGACAATTCCATCACTTAAGTTTCATGAGCAAAAGATTCCTTGACGTTTTCATACCTGCATCTGGTTCTTAACACTAAACACGCGACCCTCGCTTGCCACAAGAGTTGGTTTGGCTGCACCGACAGCCATAATCGCGCCCTGTGGAGACAAGAAATTTAACAAGCTCACTGAAAACTCGACAAAACCCATGCTTACTTGGCCAGGTGGAAGTATAGCGTCAAATCGATCCACGCCAAACATCCCCAGGTTTGATATTGTAAAAGTTCCTGTAATTGGTTGTCAAAGCGTATTGTGCAATGCTTAAACACACTAGAGTTTGCTGAAACCTGTGGTGTACTCCTGGGGTTGCAGCTGTTTGGCACGAGCCTTGTCCACAAGCTCCTTCCACTTTCGAGCAAGGGTGTAGACATCAGCCTATTATACAACAGTGCCATCAGAGAAAACAGCGAACGCAAAACTCAAATCTGATCTGGGAAAGAGGAGTTTACCTTGTCCGCATTCTGGAGCACTGGAGTTATAAGGCCTCCATCGATAGCCACGGCAACAGCGATGTTGATGTTGCTGTTGTGACAGAAACTCTTGCCTTCCTTGCAACTTGCGTTTACGACAGGATGCCGGGCAAGCGCCAAAGCAGCTGCTTTTGCCAAAAGAACTGACATGCTGACCCCCTTGGATTTGATCTGCAGCAAAAATCCTCAAAAGCTAGCAAAAGAAGTAACAAAGTTACGTAGGAAAAGAAGTCACAAACCTTTCTGTAGAGAGCATCAATCCCAGTTGTCGAGATGGAACACCCGACCCGGAAAGTTGGCACGGACAAACTCTCCACCATGTTTTTGGACACTGCTGCCTGCATGCCTGTGAAAGGCACGGTGAAATCCATTCGAGGAGGAGCTTCAGCTTTTCCCGAAGATGGAGATGGATTTGCCACTAGAGCTCCATCCTCCTGCTCCTTTGGCGATGCAAGGATGCTTGCTCCCACACCTTGCAAGCTCAGCACACTGCCCAGGCTCGTCACTGGCTTTCCAGCAAATACCTCGACGTCAGCTGGGACGATCCGTCCATGCGGCCCAGTTCCGGAGATCTTGGAGAGGTCGGCCTTGTATTGTTTGGCCAACTTCTTCGCATGAGGAGTTGCGACGAGAGATTTCTCCTCCGCCACCACCCCTGGAAGCGCGTCGGGAAATTCGACTTTAGGAGCTTCCACAGCTGGAGCTGGAGATATTGGAGATGACAATCCAATCGATTTTCTCCTCGCCTCGGCAATATCCTCCTCGTTCTCTGCGAGCAACGCGATCAACTCGTTGATCGCCGCAGAACTGCCACTTTCCACCACAATGCGAGCCAAATATCCATCGTAGAACACTTCCACATCCATGTCCGCCTTGTCCGACTCCACAACCGCGACGATATCCCCTTTCTTGACCTTGTCCCCTTCGGCCTTCGTCCACTCGACGACCTTGCCCTCGGTCATGGTGGCGCTGAGCTTCGGCATGAGGATCTCGTGGATCTTCGCCGCCGCCACGACCAGTGATCCCCTCCTCCCACCAATCGAACCCTTGGAAGAGGGAAAAATAGCGATCCATCCCTTGGACGAAGAAAGATTGCCTCCTGGGCTTTGGATCAACATTGATGGATCCGAAATCATCATCGCCACCCGAGAAACACTAGGGGAAATTTAGGGCCACCATTACATGCATGTCATCGTCCAAAAGAATTCAGCAATTCCAGCGTTGAAAAAGGGTACACAAAAAATTTTAAGTGAAATAAAAGGTTTCGTAAGCAGCTCACCATCGAAGGCACCAAGCGCAGGATATGACGTTCTAGATCCACACCGCATCCAGATTGATGGCGATCATCCCTGGGCGAAAGTCGAAGTTGTTTTCCAGAGTCATCCAAGAACACTGAAAACTCCGATGGCGTAGAGATTGAGGTGGAAGATCCGGGGATCACGGGCTTGATCACAAACTCTCTCGCGATCTGATCAATCCTTGCTCCACAATGCAGTGCAGTAAACTTTGTCCGATTATCGCCATAGTCCTCATCATTATTATCGTCATAGTCATCGTAATCGTCCTCCTCGTCATCGCTATCATCGAGATAGTCGTCGCGCAACACCTTATCCGCCTAAGGTTTTCACCACGTTCTCTAGCGCGGCGGTGGGATCCTCGCCATGCCGGACGGCGGAGGCGGGGGTCATCTTCACGCTCTCGAGGAGGCATTCGATCGCCGGGTAGAGCTCGTGATCCTCGATCTTGAGATAGGTCGCCGCCAGCGATCGAAACGCCGCGAACGAGCGATGGATTGTGGTCCACCTGCGGCAGCGAGCGGATCTTCGTCTTCACCACGAATTTCGTGACGCGACTAGACGCTGCGCTCCTCCGGCCGGGGAGAATGGACATGCTCATCCACATGAGCTACTCGTGAAATTCAGCAATGCCGAGAGCGTCACGCCCTGGTTGTCGTCCTGTCCAGGATCTAGCGCCTTTTCTCGCCTCCTCCTCCTCCACTTTCGGACCTGGGCATTGTCTTCTTCGCGATTCTCGATTGGAATGGAGCAATCGATGTCATCCACCACGACAATCGCGCGCTCCTTGATGTGAATCAGCAGCTGCCAGAGATTCTGGTTGTTTTGGACCCCTTGGTGAGCTCCAGATCATAGACGTCATAGCCAGTGAAATTCGACATGGCTCCAATCAGGCTGGATTTCCCGGTTCCAGGGGGGCCGTAGAGCAAATACCCCCTCTTCCATGCTCGTCCCACCGAGGCATAGAAATCCTTGCCTTTCATGAATTTCGCGAGATCGTCCATGAGCAGAGCTTTGTAATCCGGATCCATGGCAATTGTGTCGAATGTGGCTGGCGGATTGAAAGGAATGGACTCCCACCAGTCATAGATGTTAGTGAGGAGTTCCTTGTCGCAGCTGGATTTCTCGATCTCTCTGCCACTTTCCATCACGAACGCAAGGTAATCGTAATGGTGTGGTAGAGTGACCAGCGGGTGAGGATCTTGCGCTGGAGATGCTCGAAGAAGAGATAGAAATCGGGAGGAATTGGGAATTTGAAGAAGGCCGCGACGCCCTCCACCGACCAGAAGAAAGCGATGAGCATCGAGTACTCCATGGATGTCGCTCTATCACGATGGGATTAGAGGGAGAAGAGATCTTGTTTCGTTGCAAGAAGATTGAGAATAGAATTATTGGCGATCGCCCAATTCCATCATGGCATTCGGGTCGATCAATTGGAATGGAGGCATCAGAGCAATCTTATAGGTGAAGAAGCTTGGAGCACACAAAAAGGATCTCGTCGTTTACTCAGGCTGGAATAAAGTGAATTTCCTGTTGAGTTTCCTCGCGGACTATTTCCAGATTCGCGCCCGAGGCAAGTTGGTTTGTTTTAGAATCCCGCCTCCTCAATTTTCAAATTTTAGTCAGAAACTCGTAAATGTAACAAATGATTAAGAATATGTTTGAATATTCTTGTATATTCTTGATATTTATTTAGATTAATTTTGTGTTTATAAATTTTAAACACCTAGAAGTATATTTTAATTTATTCTACCATCTAACGGTTGATATGCAATAAGATTAATCTCGTGTTTATAAATTATAAACATTATGAAATTTCTTAAACACCAAAAACATTTAATAAATATGCAAACTCAGGTTATTAATTTTTTTAAAGCTCTTTAGTTAATTTGATCAAGTCATTATATCAGAGGAATTCAGTGGCAAGATTGGATACTTTTAAAGCAACAATAATATTTGATAGTATTTTGTACTTCCTCAGGCTTGTGAGGATCGTGGAATTGCAGTCAAGGATTCCGGGCACACGATCGCAATCAAACACGATCGTAATCAAACATCTCTGATGTGGCACCACGATTACAGCGCCATCGTGGCCGTCCAAAGAAATGCACGCAAAAAAAAAAAAGCAATTCCAGCGGTCGTGATTCATTCACCTTTAGCGAGGTAATACAAACAAAAAGAAGAATTTCACCTCCCTTGGCTTCTCAAGCAGCAGTCTTCTCGGACTTGAGAGGCTTGACCGTCTCCCAAGTAAAATCCGGATCGTCGCGACCAAAATGCCCGTACGCAGCGGTCTTGAGGTAGCGCTTGTTCGATCCGCGCTTCAAATCCAGATGGATGGCAATCATCCCCGGGCGGAAGTCGAAGTTGTTCTTGATGATCTCCAGTATCTCCGCGTCGGGGATCTTCCCAGTCCCGTAGCTATCCACGAACACCGACAGCGGCTCTGGGACTCCAATCGCGTAAGAAACCTGGACGATGCATCGGCGAGCCAGCCCCGCCGCCACCACGCTCTTGGCAGCTTGCCTCACGATATAAGCTCCGCTCCGATCCACCTTGGTCGGATCCTTCCCAGAGAAAGCTCCGCCGCCGTGAGCTCCCCAGCCGCCGTAGGTGTCGATGATGATCTTCCTGCCAGTGAGCCCCGCATCGCCGTGAGGACCCCCGATGACGAACCTCCCGGACGGGTTGAGGTGGAAGATGGTGTTCTCGTCGAGATACTGCTCGGGGATCACGGGCTTGATCACAAACTCCCGCAAGTCGGCGGCGATCTGATCGTTGGTGACGGTCTCGTCGTGCTGGGTGGAGATGAGCACGGTGTGGACGCGGATGGGAACCATTGCGCCACCTTCGTTGCGATACTCCACGGTGACTTGGGTCTTTCCATCCGGCCTCAGCCAGCTGCAAGTCCCATTCTTGCGGACCTCGGTGAGCTTGGCGCCGAGCTTGGTCGCGAGGACGTGACTTAGCGGCATGAGCTCCTCGGTCTCGTCGGTGGCGTAGCCAAACATGTGTCCCTGGTCGCCAGCGCCGATCTCTTCGGGCTTCTTCGTGCCGAGGCCGTGGACTCCCTGGGCGATGTCGGGGGACTGCTGCTCGATGTTGACGAGAACCTTGCAGTGATCCGCGTCGAGGCCCACGGAGTCGGAGGTGAATCCAATCTCCCGGCAGGTGTCGCGGACGATCTTCTCGTAGTCGACGTTGGCCTTGGTGGTGATCTCGCCAAACACCATCACCATGTTGGTCTTGGTGCACGTCTCGCAGGCCACCTTGCTGTCGGGGTCTTGCGCCAGGCAGGCGTCCAGCACGGCGTCGGAGATCTGGTCGCAGAGCTTGTCTGGATGGCCCTCGTTCACCGACTCGGATGTGAACAAGAAGCTCTCCATTGCGCCGCTCGTGCCTGGAATCGAAATGCGGGGAGATTTAGCTCGAGAATCCGAGGATTTGGCTACCTACGAGCATGGAGCTCACAAATCTAGCAAGAAATTCACAGATCTAGGCACAAGGACACCAGGGCAGCCACATTTCGGCAGATTTGTGGCTGGAATCGTCGAACCTGGGATTTCTTCAAGAAATCTCACCTGAGTGACCGGCGCCTGCCTGGGGAAGAGATTAGAGCGCGCCCGGAGGAACGAGAGGGCGAGAGTGGGCTGCTCCAAATATGGGGGAAGCACGGAAAACCTAGAGAGAGGAGCAAGCCGTATATATGTGGGAAGCATGGTAAATACATTGCACCTGGTAAGATTTACTGTGGATTCCCGGGATATGCGATTCGTACCGTGGATCGAACGTGACTTCGTGTTTGCGCCGACAATTTGGACAGTCTGGACCATGCTGGCCGTCAGATGTCTCCTACGCTGGGTTATTACAAACTTAGATGAATTGTTTTGCAATATTTGTTACTGTTTACAACCATAAAATAATATCTTGAACTTTGCACCTTTTCCTAATGACTTTTTATTATAGTGCATCTACCACAGGTTTTAAATTTTCTAAAGATAAAGGTCGACCTATACATAATGTATATAATATATTCTATGTTGTCCCCAAAGGAACACAAAAACCATGTGTGAATGTTTTGTTTGCGATTTTTGCGAACCATGGGTATAATCAAATCTGAAACGACTGAAAAACGCAACCTCCCGAAACTAGTTCAAACAAGAGTTAATCTTGACCCTGTTATGTACAAGAGCAGCACACGAAATTCCAGAAATGGACATTGAGATTTGCCTCTTGCATGATCCAGCTTAAAACCAGCCGCTTGTTCTTTTGACTTACCAGGGTGTGATGATCTTCTGGAATCTACCTTTCCATCTCCACTTGCTTCTCTGCTGTTGTCACTAGCCGAGCCACAAAACAGGCACAGCGTCCTTGATCTTGTGGTTGCGCCTTGTTTGCACGAATCGCAACGCGTCCATAGCAGAGAAGCGAGCAGAGATGGAGAAGCAGCTCCAGATAAACGCTCAAGAACAGCGTAAACCCTACAAATGCCGAATACTCGTTTAGGACAGCTAAGTGTAAATTTCAGGCTCTTTTATATACAATTGAATGTTTCAGCATTTAGTCGCGGTTGTCCTTGGATGGGCCTTGCCCGGGAGTGCTCTGATCCTTGACGAGCATCTCAACTCCGGATTGAGCCTTCCTGTTGCTAAGAAGATCCACGCTCGACGGTCTGTCCGGGCACTTCCCATCTTGGCTGTCGATACATTTCGAAGGGCCTCCCGGAGACTCACTGCCTTGCAGCGAGCTCCCAAGCTCGGCCTGGTGGTTCATCACCGAAAACGAGCCCAGCCTGGAGCAGTGGACGCTGCCGCTGATCAAAATCACGAACGCGATCGCGAGAAGTATCCTTCCGTGAGCCATTTTCCTCCGCTCCAGGAACAAATCTCTAGCTCTTTTCTTTCTGCTGCTGATACGTTTGCTGATACGTTCTTGCTGCTGATACTTGTGTTCCAAGAGAGTGATGATATCGTTGTGTAAGAAACCAGGATCTCTTGTCAGGCGCTGTCCTTGCTCTGATACGATTCGATCGGATGAAGAACTGCTCAAGTTGTGTTCAGTGCTCGCGCCTCCAGTGTCTTATATACACAGAAGAAGTGTTCTTCCTCCATCGGGCCTGGTAAACAGTCAATTCAGTGGCGCGTTTGCTCGTGAACCGGAAACCATCTGTTTGATTAGCTTCCGAGCGAGAAAAGCTCACATTCTTACTTGGAACGAGTTACAGCTTTTCAAAGTCAGCCTGTTGAACGTTACACAAACAAAGTTAGCGGCGTGACTCCGGAGTCGCAACGCACGATCCGTTCAAAGTCTATAACACCAGCCATTACCTTTTCGTAAACACATGTGTTGTCAACACGGATGTTCCTCCACAAATGCATCCTCCTCCCTCCCAATAGACGAGTAGCCACTTCTTTTCAAGACCTTGTGCCTGCCCGTGACGGTTTCATCATGGTCGTGGTCGTGATCACTGCTGTGAGAGTCTTCCGCTGCTGCTGCTTGTCTGGCTTTTTGTTGAGCGGACTTGCGCCAGACGTTTAGCGAGTGCACAATACTTTCCTGGAATATTGTCTTTTTGTAGTTTGTACCCATCTGCATCCACAATTTGATGAGTCAACGCGTTGCTTCTTCCATTGCTGTATACACTCGATCAGGAAAAAATTTAAGGAAAGCTACCTGAGTGACGAGAGCATAGAGGGGCAAGGTGCTGTAGCTACATAGGAACTGTGCAAAGACCCTGCCATAGCAAATTTAAGCGTCAGGCTGTTTTTTATTCGAGTGCCTTACCCCGAAATCAAGCGAGCATATACGTAGATGTATTTCTTATACGCTTGATCAGCCATGAGACAAGACTCGTATCCAAATTGCCACTGCAAAAAACTCGCCAAAATGTAAACTGCAAATCTCAACACAGCAAATGTTACCAGAGTCCAAAGAAACGTTGCAAGCTCAAATGCATTCTGGACCAAGGAAATACAAAGTTACAAAACATACCAGAAGAAACCTTATCACGGACCTGGAAAAGTACGAAGTGGATAAGGAAGAGTAGAAGTTCCGGCTTACTGAACCAAAATAGATTGTCCCGAGGCTTCAATGCCTGGCCAATGTAACGACCGCGAATACCAGCATTTTCCAGAGCAAGCGTTGCAATGATGTGCTGGAGCTTTGCTCCAACAAGAATTACCAGCTGCAAATCATCACTTGTTACATTATAAAGCTCGGGCTGGTGAGAATACTTACAATCACTGGCAGAAACGCAAACCAGAAGTACAAGTTTACACCTGTTGTTACAAACGTAAAGTTTAGACATGACAGCAATGGAGAAACTTACCATGTACGTTGATTAGCATAAAAACAATCACAAATATCCACAAGGGGAAGCTGCATTACAGAAAGCCTGAGCAAGGACAAACAACAACAGGATTTTTTACCTTATGCCCACAATCTCTTTGAATTCGTCTTCTACAGTTCGTATCATGTAGCTATGAAAATCATACGATGTTCCCGTGTGATGATTCTGTATGAGATAACCCAGCTGAGTATCATGAAACCGGTTAATCTTGGCCTTACAGTTATGAAGCCTAAGCGCAAAGTCAAATAGTCGGCTCGTGTCACCGACTGTCCAAATTGTCGAAGAAAACAAACCTGCAGGAAAGTATGCAATTAGAAAAAGTCACAAGACTGACTAGATTGGTTTCACATACGATCCACACTAGCAGCTTGTTTCTGCTCCATCTGCTGGAAGTATGATAAAGCACAAATGTGGATTGCCGTCTGAGAGTCAGTGTCTTCGTTATTTCTGAAACAAAAGAAGAACGCTGTTACTAGTCAAGAAAAGCAGGACATACTCTACCACTAAGACTGTCATGGCTTTCGGCGTGAGCTTCGTTTTCCCAGGAACTCCAGCTATATATCTATCTTGGAAGTAAGTCAGACCATTAACAGAAACGAAACTCACAAAGTTAAGCACCTTCATCAGAGCGAGCAGCATAGTTAAGCAGCTGTACACTACATGAGTCACTCCCAAAACAAAAATAAAACGGTGAAGCTGCTCGAGGCTTTCAAACGACACAAATGGTTCTTTCCCCTGCATCGAAAATCATGAGAAGTTCCGAGGGTTTTACTCGATCCTCACCTTGTGCACACAAGTGATCCCGAAACGAGAATTCAGTTGTCGCCTGGGATTGAGGTTCCCGAGCATCGCCGCGTGAATGCTGCCTTCCATCTCGTGGCTGCTCGACTCTCGCTTGCATGGTGTAGGCATTCTGTCGTAGAAACTGGAATCCACACAGAACTGCGATATGTAGTTCTGTGTGACAGTGAGAACGAGAGAAATAAATCCCAGGACCATAAGTTCTGTAAAGCAAGAAAAACATTACAATGTGATATCAACCAAACGAGGAGATCACGTAGGCTATACCATCTCTTATTTTTTCGAGGGCATGAAGCAAAGGCTTTCGTTTAGTCCTCTTGAGCCACTGCCAAAGAAAAAATATCGAGCAAAGATCAAAGATCTCGATCAAAAAAGAAGTCGCAAGCAGTAGAAAATTTATTAGAAAAACGATCGCTGCCGCGACATGGTCACGAACAAACAGGGAGAAAACAGGCATTAAATGCGGCAACACAAACAAATCGAGAAAGAAAGCATAAGAAATCCATTGCTCGCGACTTACATTGCCAAGACAATGGATGGATCGCTCCGCGCCGAGCGAGACGATGACGAATCCAGTGCAAACCACCGATACGGCCCAGGTCGGGGTGAGATAGAGTGGCCGCTCCAGCAAATGCAGCTCCGCCTCATTGAGGTCCATGCCGGATCGATCGAGGAAATCTGCGACTGCGCAAGAAAACCTAGCACGGCGGTCACACGGGAATGGGAATGCTTGGATTCGTCCTCGTCCTGTAAACTTATAGGAAGAAGTTCGCTCACACACAACTTGGGCTCATGTGAGTAGTACGAACAAACGTTTGACAAACGGCCACATTATGTGCCACATGGCCACGCGGAGCCAAAGCGTACGGACGAATTAATATTCGGTGGAATTGTGGATCCAAGTCAAATTTGGTCAGTTTCTCGAGACGAGAAAATTTGTGGACACTTAGAAGTTCTAAACTCACTGATTCCATGACTCACTGGATCGCCAAAGCATCTTTAACAATCCTTGATCCATTGTTAGTTTTCAAATTCGCGAGAAGTTTGCTGGCACTATATAGTCAAATGAATGAAGGAACCTTGTCAAGGGATAGATCAATGGTTTGTCAAAGGTATTGCTGGCATGTAGCGAGAACATCGCTCTCGTTTTCTTTTCTTTATTTTCTGCTGGAAAAGAACGATCAATGAATATGGTTGTTGATACAAAATTCAGATCAAACCTGACCGAGAGTATTGTATTTTATTTGTGGACCTCCCGAGTCTTGGAAAAGTTTTGCCTCCCCTGGAAAGAGAAAATAAAGGCAAGAGGAGAAAGAGTGAGAATGGATCACTTTCATTGCCTTGCACTGTTTATAAACGGAATTGTTAGCACAGAAATCGACGACAGAAATTTACTGGGAGTGTATGTATGTGTTTATGGTGTTGGACTTCTCCGAGGATTTTTGACGTGGTATCAAGCTGTCGCGGCATTCGCTTCCTGAAGGCCACAGACCATGTTTGCTGGAACGGCTACATCGATCATCTTGGGATAAGGCAGTCCCAAATCTGCACACACACACACAAAGTTATTCAAGTGTACGAGACCAGCAAGAAATTCACTTACTTTCCATAATCTTTACAAATGCTTCCTGCAAAATCGCAAGCCAACGTCAGGAAACACGCGAACCAAGCAAAGGAAAATACCTCGTCCTTCGTAAGTCGAGTGTTGTGAAGCAGCTCTTCCCCCACAGTTGTAACCTTGAGAAAAAAAAAAAAAAAGAGTTAAGGGCGAAAATCGAAGAACATGATAGCTCGACTTACAGTATTCCCTTTATAGTCATGTGCAGGATACAATAAGGTGTCCTTCGGGAGCGAGAGAATCTGGCAGTGAAGCAGCAAATTCAATTTCCACCAAAAGGATAAGGCAATCATTCATACCTGAGAATGAACCGACTTGTAAAGCTCTCTTGCATTACCTCCCTGCAAGCAGGCAAAATCTTACTCCGAGATTCGAAGGCCAAAAAAGAGAGAAATAAAACACCTGGAAATCCGTGCGGCCACACCCTCTAACGAGCAAAGCGTCTCCTGTGAAAGCCATTCGTGGCGATGGCTGCCCTTCACCTTCTCCTGACACATATGTGACGCATCCTTGGGTATGTCCCGGTGTGGGACGAACCTGTGCAAATAAATCTTTGAGCTAAAAGCAGTGAAAAGAAAAAAATGTACCTCCAAATACAAGTTCCCGAAGTGTATCTTTTCTCCTGGCTCCACGAAAACATCCGCTTGTGCTTTGCTCGCCTTGGATATCAGGGATTTTGCACTCGGGAGTTTACTCTAAACAAGGAACCGTGATTAGAAGAAAGAACGACAAAAGAAGAAAAAAGAGTACCTTCAGGAGACCCGTTCCAGTGACATGATCGGCGTGTACGTGAGTGTTCATCGCGTACTTGAGCTTTAGCCCAAGTTCCTTGATCAAGTTTACATCTCTATCGACGGTCTTGTCCACGGGATCTATCAGCTGGAAGCTCCACAACTTAGCCACAAAAGAAGAAGAAAGGAAACACAAAAGAAGAAATATCTTTGCTTACCACTGCTGGCTTTTCTGGATGCCCAATGTCCGCAAGCAAATACGTGTAAGTACACGAGTCCTTCTCGAAGAGCTGTCGAAAGAGGAGAGGGGAATCCTGGTGCGTCGCAGTGGCCACCATCGTCGTCGATTTCAGCGCTCGCAAGTCGGGATTTCGAGAAAATCCTGCTGCCGGAGCCCAGAATCTCGCTGCAAGCATATAACGCTGGCGCAATGGCGCTTACAGCTCGGCAGCGGCGGCGGGGAGCTAGCATTACCTGATCGCCGGTAGCGCGCGCCGCGACGGAGCGAGCGATCGATCGAGAGATAGCGCCGTTGTTCCAAAACCCTACCACCAATGCGGGTTCTTTGTCTTGTTCATAGTTTTTGCGTGAACGGTCGCGATCTGTCCACATCAAAGATACCAATAAAATGGCCACGTATTGTAGAACTATCGAGCATAAGATAGTTTTCTATCCTCTCTATCTCTTCTATCGATTCTTACGAGTTCTTTCTCGCTTTTTTTGCGTTTTTTTTTTCTCACGGTCCAGGCCGTGGTTGCTTCAAGAAGGTAGCTATGGTGTTGCCCAATCCCGCACCGATGGCCTGTGCCAATTGAGCTGCCTGCACCATTCCACTACCGCTCAGCAAAACCGGCCTAAACTTCCACGACTCCGAGAGCCTTTGCATTACCTCCTTGGCAGTTTTCCTACAATCGATCACGTCGATGATCCGGCGTTGCGTGAAAGTCCAAGTATCCCTGAATCCTGGAACCAAAAAATAGATCTGGTCGCGAAAACAAACTTGCGAGAGCGTTTGTACTTACCGGGAGAGTAATCTGTGAGCATGTAAACCTCTGCTGCTGTGTAGACTCCGCCGAGGATCGCTCGCTTGGAGTAGAAATCCCAGTCCGTGGATCTGTCTCCGACGGAGTGCCAGATCTCGTCCATTAGCACGGCTCGTTGTTTCATCGCGACAGGAAGGTTAATGGGATTCGCCTGGTACAAAGAGAAAGGATAGAAGAGTTTAAAGCTTGGGAGAAGTGAGAACAACTTACTTGGATACTCAAAGCTTGAGCCCACTTGGAAATATAAGGAGCTTGCATCTCGAGACGAATGCGGATGACTTTCGCCAATCTCTCATGCAGCACCAGCTTCTCGAGCTCCTCGCTTTGCTCTTCAACAGCGTCCGTAAGTTCGTCCAGCGATTCATCCATGAAGTACTGCTCAGCAACGGAGAGAGTGTCTGTTGAGAAAACAAGAGACCTTTTGTTGAAAGACTTACTTCCACGAGAGCAGCTTCTTTCCTGTGAAAGGCTCCAAGGATCGCGGGCGATAGATTTACGTCTCTTGCTCCCGCTGCAATGGCGGCCTCTGTCCATCCCAAAGTAGGCTGCAAAAGTATCACAGCTCTTGAATTCTCTAGGAAGAACGGAGAAACGAGTGTACATACAACATACGTAAGAGCCGCATTGAGAACACGCCGTTTCTCATCGTCCTCCTCTTTTTCTTTCTGCTTCTTGCTCTCGTGAGAAGCCTTGTGTTTATGTGACTCCTTCTCGTCTGCAAGAAAACAAACAGAAAAAGAATGGGAGCTCCAGATACAATGAAGGAAAACAGCGCAGACCTTCAACGCCAGCGTCTTTGCACATGAAACGCACTGGCCGGAACGAAAACTCGCATCCGAGGCATCTCTCGCGCGTTAAGTTGGAGCCTGCAACAGTTCAGCTTACAGAATGACAACTCGGCATTTTAGTGCTTTCGCTAAAACTCTCGAAACCAAGACGCTACCTCGAGTCCAGGGCTCTCTGGTAAGACACTTTCTCCTGGAAGAGCTGAAAAAAAGAACGAAGGTCAGAAAAACAAGACCACACACCAAACGATTAAAAAAACCTGCTCAAACGATCAGCATTCCTTCCCAAAACCAAAGCTTGGAATGGAATCGCGCAGCGATCAATTCCAGAGCTTGATTCCAATCTTCCAGTGGCCCTGAAGCGCACAGGAATCAACCAAGAGGATCTCACTGCCAACAAGCACATACCACGAGAATCTGGACACGCGCTTGAGCGCCCGCACAAACGACATTCCTCCCTCGCAAGCCCTAAACTATTTTTCCCCTTATGTCAAAAGCTAAGATGAATTGTAGGATCTTTTTAGGGCACAAAAAGTAGAAGTGTGGCACGTGGATGCCATGCACCAACAACGACATGCCGCTGCTGTGTCCTATAATAAACCCCATGTCTCGCTGGAAAGAAGACCACTCTCTCGCAGCTCTAGCTCTCTCTCTCTCTCTCTCGCTCCAAATTCCATGGCGGACAAGATGCAAAGCGGCGAGCGCAAGCTCCGCGAGCACTCGCCCAACGCGCGCCAGGTGCTAGGGCTCGTCGCGCTGCTCTTGGGCACCGTGGCGGTGCTGACGGTGGGCGGATTCATGCTGGGCGGCCTGGCGCTGGCGGTGGTGATCGGCATCCCCGTCTTCCTCTTCTTCAGCCCGGTGCTCGTCCCCCTGGGCATCGTCCTCTTCCTCGCGGTCTCGGGCATTGTCATCACTGGCGTCGCCTTCGTCGCCTTCCTCTCCTCCGTGTCGTGGATTTACAACTACTTCAAGGGGAGGCATCCCGTCGGCTCCGACAAGATCGAGGCCGCGCGCCAGAGGCTTCTGGGCTCCGTACACCAGGCCACCGAGAAGGCCCGCGAGTACGGCAGCTACGCCGGCGGCAAGGCCCAAGAGGCGGCGCCGGGGGCGTAAAACCCCTCTGTACGGCCTTGTGTACCGCCGTGGGCTTAAACCCCTCTCTGTACGGCCTTGGGTACGGTAGGACTATTCTATGTACGGACGGAATGTGCTAAATAACGTTCTCTTTCTTACTAAAGGCTTAGATTTTAGGGTTGTGGGATTTCTTTCGCCGCAGAGAGATTCGGTTGGCACAAGCAGTGTAAATGCGGGGCCTGGATTACGACGCCCGTCATTCATTTTCTACCCCACTTGAGTAATTACTATGATAATTTTTCTTTTACGTGTTCTAGCTGGCCGCCGGACGAGACGACGACGGTGGGAGTTAAAAAAAGAGTTGGCCCCAGGGAAGTAAATGTGGGCACGGACATTCAGGATTTTCGGGTAAATTCTCTAATTATGACGGGGACGGGGTTAAACGGGCGGGCGCTCTCATCACAGGTTAAAGCGTGATTAGAACTAAACTGGAGGTTTTTTTGTTTTTATACAATGTAGCGGTCAGATTCACAAAGATCTTCGTTGTTCGTTTTGTCTTTGTTGACCTCTTGTACCTTGTCCTTGGATTTCTCCTCTCTCTTGATTTCTTTGGTGTAGTGTAGTTTTTCTAGAGCCCGGTTGTGTTCTTCGTGGATGTTCTCCTCGAGAGAACCTGAGTGCTATAAAAAAATCCCAAAAAGAACGACATCTTGCATTAGCCAGCTTTATAAATCCGTGAAATCAAGCATACAAAGAGCTCAACTTTCTACTTTGGAGGAACAACGAAAACTGGAAAAACAGGAGCTAACAACGAACAGGAAAGCATACCAACAGAGGAGAGTGAGGCACTCACTACTTGGCGCGCCGCTTGGATTGGAGCTCGTCGAGCTGCGTGTGAAGATCTTTGAGAATTCGCCGGTGGACGTCCCGGGCCGAGGCTGCCGGAGAGGTGGTAGTCGGCTCCTTGGAAACTGGCGATGACTTGAAAGCTCGGTTGATCTCTTTGGCTGGAAGAATTTCCTCGGGATTCTTCTTCGGTGGCTCCTCGGTTTTGACGAGATCTTTCACTGGAAGGATCTCCTCAAGATCTTCACGGACGGTTTCCTGGACCGGATCGTGCAGCGAGACCTCGAGCAACTCATCGTCTGAGAATGGAACCGGAGGAGAGGACTCGGCCGCCGGAGGTGGAGTCGCTGGAGCTTCTTCGTCCCAGATCGGTCCGCTTTTCGCTGGAATTTTCTCCGGGCCAGCAACGCTAACTTGTTCTAGAAGAGGCGCCTCCACTGTCTCTAACTCTGGCATATCGATCTCCTTCACCTCGATCGGAGCAACCTCGAGAACTTTCGACTCTGGAGCGACCAAAACCGGCTTTTCCTCTACCTCTTCCACTATTTCTACCAGAGTTCTACTGCTGACCTCTTCCAGAGTTTTCGGTGGAGCCGACTCCTCGAGCTTCGACCCGGCAAAAGCCACTGGAGGATGATCACGAACAGTCGAGGGCGTAACACCATCTTCTTCTCCACTCTTCTTCTTGCTCTCGGCCGGAGGAGCTACCGGTTCTCCAGCAAGAGGCTTAAGTTCTCCGGCCTTGAAAACTTCGTCCACCCAGGAAGCAAGCTTGATCTTCCACTCCTCAATCACTTCCATCCAGGTCGGGCCGGAGCCATCCACCTCCGATCGTCTCCGCTTCACAGCCACGGCCTCGTTGCTCGCCTGGCTCCAGTCTCCATACGGCCAGCTCTCGTCCATGACGCTGGGAATGGACTTCTCCCCCTTGGCCCATCGCTCGCGCTCCTCCGTGGTCTCCTCCAACCTCGGCTTCATGCTGATGAGCGCGATGATGAACAAAGTGGTGGAAATGAGCAGCGGCGAGAAGTAGAGCAGGATGTGGAACAGCGAGGGCGTGAGCAGCAACAAAATGGATCCGCACACCAGTGGATGATTCCACATGATGTCGAAAACGGCCGAGAACTGGAAACCCATCGGAGATCGATATGAGCAGTTGATGATGAGCTACTTATCTGTGAGTTCTCCGCAGCAGTGAGAATCCCTCTCACTGTTTTTCCTCTTTTTTTTTCTCCTCCTTGATGATGCTGTGCTCTGCAACACTCAAGAGAGAATGAGAGGAGCTTGCGAGTAAAAAAAGACTACTATACCTTTCAAGGAGGGCCCAATGGGACTAAATAGTCAGGATGCCTGTGAGTGATGTGAGTGAGCGGCTCAAAAACGAGTTTTGGCCAGCTCGCACGGAACAAGTACGGTGCTTGTCTTGTTCTCTGTGCACACGAGTCGAGCTCTTCCTCTCTTAGTGTGCCTCGAAACCACGACAACTTTTAAAAAAACTTCTCTCTTTTTTTTGCGCTTGGATCGATCGATCGATCGAGTAGGAGTAGGAGGCTACGTACCTGTTGGATTGATCCTTGATTTGAGTGTCTTGGATCTCCGCTACCTCCACAATTGCCGTGCTTCACGCTGCAAAACATTCAAAGTGAGAAAGAGAGTAAAGAAAATGGAGATATATCAAGCGAAAGGGAGTGAAAGCTTTCACTGGCATTTGCCTAACCCAAGAATCGACAGCTTCTCTCGATAGCTTGCCTAAAGAACGAAAGAAAAAAAAAAAAAAAAAAAGCATGGATGGATGCGATGTATACTCTCTCCACCAAAACAAAGAAAGCTAAGACCTACCTACAAACAAACCGCCTCGAGGAACGAAACAAATGGAACAAAGAATTCTTCCATTTGTCCCACCTGAGAATCGCAATGGGAGCATTCGATCCTCGCTCCAAGGAAGAACTTGCGCTTATTTCGGTCCATCATCTGAGAATCACAATGCGGGGATCGATAAGCGCTTGGTCCAAGGAAGAAATCGCGCTTACCTCGATCGATCATCCATCGCCGGGCATTCCAGCTCGCTCCCTCAAAGGGAAAGAAAAAGAAAGGAGAATTTAGGGTTTATCGGGGATTTTTTTAGGGTTAGGTCTTGTGTGTGTGAGCTCTCGGCGATGGCGACGGAGCGTAAGCGCAAGCTGAGCCTCTTCGACGTCGTGGACGATGGCGCCCTGCACAAGGCCAAGTCGAATGGAGTGTCGCTGCTCAATCCCTACACGCACCGGCCGTTTTCGCAGAGGTACCACGATATTCTCGACAAGAGGAAGACGCTACCGGTGTGGCAGCAGAAGCAAGAGTTTATGGACACAATGGCGAAGAACCAGGTGATGATTCTTGTGGGAGAGACCGGAAGCGGTAAAACAACACAGGTATGGATGATCGATTGCTGTTAGTTCTTGAGCTATAATTCTTGTGATTGCCACAGATCCCCCAATTCGTGGTGGAGGCTGGATACACTTCCAATCGCAAGCAAATTGCTTGTACACAGCCTCGAAGAGTGGCCGCTATGTCGGTTTCGCGCAGAGTTGCCGAGGAGATGGACGTGACTGTCGGTGAAGAAGTCGGGTATAGTATCCGGTTTGAGGATTGCAGCAGTGCCAAAACCATTCTCAAGTAAGTTCTTTACGGATCTGTGTGTGTTCCGTGGTAAAGTTTCCTTTTTTCCTTTCCAGGTACTTGACCGATGGTATGCTTCTGCGAGAGGCGATGACGGACCCGTTGCTGGAGAGATACAGCGTTATCATTCTCGACGAGGCTCACGAGAGAACTCTTGCGACGGACGTCCTGTTTGGGCTGCTGAAAGAGGTGCTGAAGAACAGGACCGACTTGAAGCTGGTGGTGATGAGTGCTACTTTGGAGGCCGAGAAGTTCCAGGCGTATTTCAACGGTGCTCCACTGATGAAAGTGCCCGGACGGCTGCACCCAGTGGAGATCTTTTACACGCAGGAGCCGGAAAGGGACTACTTAGAGGCGGCCATCCGGACGGTCGTGCAGATCCACACCTGCGAGCCCGCTGGTGATATCCTGGTGTTCCTGACGGGGGAGGAAGAGATAGAAGATGCGTGTAAAAAGATTGCTCGCGACGTGCAGAACTGTGGAGAACAGGCTGGTCCTGTGAAGGTGGTACAGCTTTATTCGTCACTCCCCCCGGCTTTGCAGCAAAAGATCTTCGACTCCGCGCCACCCCCGGCAAGAGAAGGTGGTCCTCCAGGAAGGAAGATTGTCGTGTCCACCAATATTGCCGAGACGTCGCTGACCATCGATGGGATCGTGTACGTGATCGATCCCGGTTTCTCCAAGCAGAAGGTTTTCAATCCCAGGATACGGGTGGAGTCGCTTTTGGTATCGCCCATCTCCAGAGCTAGCGCTCACCAAAGAGCTGGTCGTGCTGGACGTACGCAACCTGGCAAGTGCTTCAGGCTCTACACCGAGAGGAGCTTCAACAACGATCTCCAGCCACAGACATATCCGGAGATCCTGAGATCCAACCTGGCGAACGTGGTCTTGACGCTGAAGAAGCTCGGTATCGACGACCTGGTTCACTTCGACTTCATGGACCCTCCAGCGCCGGAGACGCTGATGCGAGCTCTGGAGCTGCTAAACTACTTGGGCGCTCTCGACGACGATGGGAACATGACACACCTCGGCAAGCTGATGAGCGAGTTCCCGCTGGACCCACAGATGTCGAAGATGCTCGTGGTCAGCCCCGAGTTTAACTGCTCGAACGAGATCCTGTCGATCACTGCGATGCTTTCAGGTAGATCGTCGGTTTCCGCATCTCTACGTCTGCTGACCCCGGGTGCTGCCTTACCTGTGATAACCTTGGTTTGAACTGATTGATCTCCATAGTCCCGAACTGCTTTCTTCGCCCAAGAGACGCGCAGAAGTCTGCCGATGAAGCAAAGTCGAGGTTCGCGCATGTTGATGGGGATCATCTCACTTTGCTCAACGTCTACCACGCCTACAAGCAAAACAGTAAGCGCTCTTTTCCTTTGCTTTCCTTGCTTTGTCAACTGGGTTTTCTTTTTCTTTCTTTGTGCAAACAGACGAGGACAGCAACTGGTGCTATGACAACTTCCTCAATGTTAGAGCGTTAAAGTCGGCAGACAACGTCCGGAACCAACTGGTTCGGATCATGAACCGTTACAACCTCAAGCTGTGCAGCACAGATTTCCAAAGCCGGGACTACTACACCAACATCCGGAAGTGTATGCTGGCGGGCTACTTCATGCAAGTGGCGCACCTGGAGCGCAACGGGACTTACTTGACTGTCAAGGACAACCAGGTCTGTGATCGTTTTTTTGCTGCTTCGAAGCTACTTACGCTGCTCTTTCTCTTTAGACGGTGAGCTTGCATCCCTCGTCGTGCCTGGAGCGCAAGCCGGAGTTCGTCATCTACAATGAGTTCGTGCTCACCACAAGGAACTACATCCGGATCAACACCGAGGTCCGGGGTGACTGGTACGTGTCTTTGGTTTGGTTTTGCCAATAGTTTTTCTTCGTTTGACGCTGTGATTCTTCTTGTGTGTGACAGGCTGATCGATATAGCACCACACTACTACGATTTGAGTAACTTTCCACAGTGTGAGGCCAAGTCCGTGTTGAACCGGTTGTACATGAAGCGGGAGAACGAGGCGAAACAGAAAAGGAAATAATTTGTCCGTGGCATTATTCTTTTGTGTTTTAGCTCTAAACTTAACCAAAAAGGTGGCAAAGTTATTTGGGTGGATCCCTTTAAGGTTATACGAGCTTAAATACTTTAGTGGAGACAAAGAGGCGGTGCATGGGAAGTGCGAGAGGGCTTGTAAGCTCACGGCCACTGCTGGGAGCCCCATGATCTTCCGACCCTTGTGGTTTATGACTACCACAATAATATCAAACACGAGCAAGCGCACTACGTGTGTAGGGACAAGGCCTGGAAGAAGCTCCAAGTGGACACAAGGTGGCGTGATAAGGGAGCGATTGCCAAAGAGGGGCAAGGATTGCGAGTCATACAGAGTTGTGGGAGTTTGCGGCAAGACAACAGTAGCTGAGGGTCTTCTTGAGAGGGGTGAATCGTCCAATACTTTCATGCAAGGTGATTGTAGGTGGAACTTACAGTCAATCAGCGTTTCCTCAACCTCAAGAAGTATTTGCCCAAGATGGAGAGATGCAATCCACGTCGGTGATGACTGTGTGCCAGGAACTGTTTGCAGGGCAAGGTGGAAGAAAGAAAGGGGTGAGGCCCAATCTAACTCTTTGATCTGCAAACCACTTGTTGAGATCTAGCTGGTGATTTTGCTTTAGCATTTCCTCAAGAAGTAAGGTGGAGGAGATATGCAAAACACTTTCTGAGGACAAGGGTGGAAACATGCAGGGCACTTGGCATGGGCAAGCATATCTTTATTAACATTGCCGAATTCATGGAAGAACTTCCAGAAATACAAAGCATATGTTCTATGTAATTGAAATCATTAACTCTAATTTTCTTCCCACCAGTATTAGTTAAAAGTGAAATTAGTTCATTTATTCATGATAATATTTTATTACATTAATATTAACATTAGTAAAATTTAGATGAAGGAGGAGGCGTGTTGCAGCAGTGATGGTTCCAACTCCCTGGAGGGAGATTTAAAAGACAATGCCTTGTTCTTCACTGGTGTGCTGCGTTCATTAGGTGCAAAATGGCAACTTACCACAATGCATGTTTTATGATGCTAAACTACATGAAAATATAGACCAAACATTAACTTAATTTAATATTTTCTAAAAGGATCTAAATATTAAATTATAATTTTTAGAAGTTAATTTAATAGATTGCAATTAAATTATTAAGATTATAAATATATATTCCATATTATAATGTACATTAGTGAAGACAATTATTCCAAAATTTATTTTATTTTATTAATCTTAAAAAATTCATTACCTTCATTTTTTCTATTCCAAGAAATAATGCTTTCTAGCTAGTAATTTGATTGTAACATTATAATATGTATAATGCCACTCAAATTATATTCTAATTATAAAAAGTGGAATTGGTAAGGTAGAATACATACACATTGGGACTGCATGAGTGATTGATTAGAGATGTGATAAATTATAAAAGAGCTTAGAAAACATATAAAAAACCAAAGCAAACTAAGTGTTTCTACATTACATTTTTTTTGTCATCTATAATTTTATTATTTCTTGTTGTTTCTTTTATTTGTTGGGTGTATTTTCCATGAGTTCTTTTAATCATTTTGACTCTTCATTATTATAATCAATAATAAAGTCTTCCATTCCACTATTATTTTTTATAATAATATCCTGGATTATATTTATTTATTTAAAAAATTTGATTTTAAATTTTATTTAATGTTTGCAATAATTGCTTAAACTTCATATGAAAGTAATATTCCTATTTTAACCTCCTTTTCAATGATTATGGGAAACAATCTTGGCAATGGCAATAAGGATTGAAGATTTCAATCCTTTCTAGTCTTCTACTTGAGGTGGCTGATCTGCCCTGAGCACCTCAAATCCAATTAGGGAAGCTTGTCAATCATATGGATCATTATCAACTTCATTCTAGCCCTGGGCAATTAGGTTCTGTGGAGATTCCTAGAGAAACTAGCCATTAGCTCACCTACCAGGCTTCCCTGTCGCAGGTCAATTAGATCTTAAAGGATACCACTATGGAAGGAAAGTCATCAATTTGTGAGTTTAATAGAGAAGGTTTTGAGGGATTCAAGATCCATTTTGAATCCTACCTATTATTAGAGCCTAAACTGTTAAGGTTCATAACTAGACCTTTCTAGATTCCAAGCAAGAGGGAGCATTGCAATGTGCCTATCCTGGAATGTTCTCTTTGTTGCTCTATCAATTCCTAAGTCCACTCTGGAAGTGGTTGAACAACACTTACAGCATCGAGATTGACATCAAATTGTGGAGTTGTTGTGGTGTTTGGCATCTCTTTGGTTGACTCTTCATTTACTTGAGAGTCCATTTATGAATGGATGTTGAGAAGACATCCATCTCTTGCTTCCAAGCTTTGTGATCAAAGATGCAATATGGAAACATGCATGGCTCCC